AGAGGTGGGGGGGGCGGGGGGGGGGGGAGTGAGAGGATTCCTCAGAGACAGAGTGGGAAACAGAACAGGTGGATCGACTGAAATACACTGCTGAGGGGAGCAGCGGGTGAGTCAGGAGAGGTCTGCTGTGCCATGTGGGTAGCTCCCTGGCCAGGGATGGAACTCGTGCTGCAGCGGCTGCGGACAGCTTCAAAGGTTGCATCTTAACCCCTTGCGCCACCAGGGAGGACCTGTAGCTGATAACTTTCAAAAATGAAACCTGCAGGCCTAGATGGTTTCCTTGAAAAAAACCTACCCAATGTGATAAGTAATCCTAGCAATTCTTAACAATCTCTTTAAGGTAACAGGACAAATGGAACACACCTCCAATCCTTTTATCCAATTAGCATTGCCGAGATTCCCAAATCAGATAACAACAGTATTAGCAAATCAAATTCAATAATATAAAAAAAGAGCAGTCCATGACCAAGTGGGGTCTCATCTACAAATGCAAGGCTGGTTTCATATTCAAAATCGATCAACAATATACCATATTAATATACCCAAAGAATCCACGTGATAATAATTCAGCATCTTTTCATAATAAAAACATTCAGTAAGTGGGGTAGAAGGAGGCTTTCTGAACCTGATGTAGAGTATCTACAAAAATACCACACCTCCTACCGACATAATGTTGGAAGACTAAATTCTTTCCCCCTAAGAGCCAGACCAGGCCAGGACATCCACTCTTACCCTTGCTATTATTCAGTATTGTACAGCGAGTCCTGGCCACTGCAGTAAAGCAGAAAGAAAAGAGACGGCTTACAGATTGGGAAGAAACTCCCAGGTGACATGACAACCTACATAGAAAACTCCATGAAATTTATTTTAAAAATGGGTCCTCAAACTACTAAAAATGGAGCTACCATATGACCCAGCAATTCCACTCCTAGAAATCTACCCAAAGGACACAGAAACATTAATTCAAAAGGTTACCTGCACCCCTATTTATTGCAGCACCAGTTACAATAGGTAAGCTGGAAATAACCCAAATGCCAAAAAATAGATGACTGGATCACATGCGGTATATATACACGATGGAATACTATTCTGCAATCAAAAAAGATAAACTCATGCCATTTGCAGCAACATGGATGGTGCTGGAAGGGATTATGCTCAGTGAAATAAGCCAGAAGGAAAAAGAAAAATATCGGATGGTTTCACTTATAGGAGGAATGTAGGGGAACTAAATAAGGGACCAGAAAAATAATATAATAAATTAAAACAACAAAATTAACAGGCAACTATTAATCAGAGACACTCTGCAGGGGAGGGGGAGGGAGAGGAATCAAAACAGGGGAGGGAATGTGTTCTTACACGAGGGACTATGGTGATGGTGCACCAGTGAATTTGTGATGGGAATTTTGAGGGGACCACCGGAAAGGAGAAAGCATACATTGTAGAAAAAGGAAGGGTGATGTAAAAATATACATAAAATTAAATTAAATTTTAAAAAATCACAGAAGAAGTGTATTTAGCAATGATGATGATGACAAAAATCAAGCCTATCTCAATATACTAATGAACAATGACAAAACAAATTTTAAAGATACCATTCACACATACCATATACATTAGCTCCCCAACCCTACCAGAACATATGCAGGATCTGTATGCTGAAAACTAGAAAAGCTGAGAAAACAAAAGACCTAAACAAACACATTATATTGTATACATAGGTTGATATTCAATATAACTAAGACGCCACTAGTCCCAGATGGAATACAACTCCACCCAAAAAACCCAACAGGATTGTCTGTAAACAAAATGACTTCAAAATTTATGCGGAAAGGAAAAAATTCTTAAAAGGAGAACAAAACTGGAGGAGAAACACTGATTTTTAAGATTTACTTTGCAGCTCCAGCCTAGCCATGGGCACAATGTAAGTGTCCACGGAATGATGACTGGGTGAAGGAAAAGTGGTGTGTGTGCATACTTTTCAGTCATAAAATAGAAGGAAATCATGCATTTCCCGGAACGTGAATACAACTGGAGGGCACTATGCAGAGTTTAAAACTTACTGTTGGAGAGAAACTTAGGATTGCTCTCATTTATCTGTGAAATGTACAAACATCAAACTTACAGAAATCGAGGTGGTTGCCAGGGTCGGGGGGAAGTGGGCACCTACCTATCGGTCAGAGGGCACGACTTCCAGCTATGAGGTGAATTAGTTCCAGGGATCTAACGTCCACAGTTAACATGCAGTACATAGCAATACTGTATACACTTCAGTATATATTTTGAAAGTTGCTAAGAGAGGAGATCTTAAATGTAAAACCACAAAAAATTGGTAATTCAGCAAGGGGACAGACTATTAACTAAGTTTATTGTAGTAGTCCTATAACATTGTATAGATGTATCGAACCATCGGGCCTTAACGATCATGTGCTTCACGTCACTATTCTGATAAAGAGGGCAAAAATAACACTGCCCCCAGTTTGTCCAGTGGGGTCCCTTCAAGCTATTTTCCACGTCCTTCTGACAGGTCACCATCGGTCCTTGAATTTACCCTGGTTTCTGACTCCACACGGTGAGCCAGGCTCACCATCCTCTCCCTCCCCCACGCCCAGGAATAATCACTTCGCAGAGAATGGTATCTAGGAGCCAACATCTGGGGGCTAGGCATGCTTATTGCTATTGGGAGGTTGCTGTTGCCAGAAACTGTAGAATATTATATGCACACACACTCAAATACAAGCACACATAAATGTACATGTACCTCCATCCATCTTTCCACATGCACACACGTACACACTGAAAACCACAAGTTTGCTGGGAGAGCTACAGCACAGCTCTTCAGAGTTTGTTCTCCTTTTCTCCCTTTCCATGTTTAAAGCTCCCTTTTCCACTAGTGAAGGTGTGGCTCTAATGATCCTTACACGTTTATTTAGTGGATGAATGCAATGTCTAGAAGCCATGCCTCCCCTACAACCTCCCTCATCACATGCTCTGCTGAACCACACCCTCTGCCTCTGGCCTCCACACCCGACTCAAGCTGGAGTCCCTGAGCCAGTCAGCCCTCTCCCCACCCAACCTCCAGGGCCACCCCCCTCACCATGCTGGGCTCTGAAACCCACTGCAGCCTGTCCCCGTGCATGGATGCCCTCGACAGTGTGCCTGGGCTCATGCCCCTACACCCGTATACTTGCAGTGCTCTGCCACACCTGAACCCTTTAGGACAGAAATGTTCGGGCACCAAAGAGGAGGGAAGGCAAGAAAGGGCAGGGAAGAGGAAAGGGTAAACAGGATCAATTATTACAATGAGCTGGGCCCAAACCAGGCAATATTCCGAAGCCCTTGCTGCTTCTCACTGTCCTCCAGTTTCTGTTCCTGCCTCTCTCTTCTGCCCCAGGTCTGCACTCATTCCTAAAGTCCTGCCCTCCATCAAGAGTAGAAATGTCATGGTGGCAATGACTCCTCATAGGAGCCGGTGGGCTGACATTCAGTGTGGATGGTGTCCTCCCCTCGTGATGCAGTAATGACTGAGTAGCAATTTCACATGTGAGCGGGAGAGCAGGCTCAGGCCACTCCTGGAGCTTCACATCCTTCATCTGTAAACTGGGGTGGCCCCACCTTCCTGACAGGGGTGGGAGAAACAGGGCTAACAACACTAGACTCTTCAATGAACTCTAAGTGCCCAACCCAGAGACCAGGGCTTCATCTGCATCGCTGCACTCCTTCACATCCAGAATGTGCCAGATGCTCTTCCTGGGTAAGCCCGCGCCTGCTCCCTCACTACCTGCAGGTCCCACCTCCATCATCACCTTTTCAGGCTGAACTTCTGTGACCAACATGACTAAAATGACAACGTCCTCCCCACAAGCACCTTCCCCTAAGCAAGCCTTTCCTCCCTACCCAGCACTTGCACCATCCGCTGTGTATATACACACTTAGTGTTCAAACTCTTGGAAATCAGAGACTTTGTCAGTTTTGTTCTCTGTGGAATCCCCAACACCTAAAACAGTACCCAGGCACAAGATGCACAGGTATACTCCAAGAGGAGCACTGGCCCATTTTCTGGATTATGATCCAGGAGACTCCAGGGCCAAATGACTTGCCCAGGACACACGCCAGGACCTGGGGCCTCATGCCTTGGAATCCTATCTGCCCCATTCCAAAAGCCTCAGCCTGGAGACCTCACAACCAAAAAGGTAAAGCGATTTCACTCCTCAGACACAGACCCCACACAGGCCAGATACCCAGAGACACCAAAAACAGCTCACGGGACACACAGCCTAAAAAGATTCCCCAAAGTCCTGTACAAGAAAGCCCTCGACTGACTCACATTTCCCACAGAGCAGAAACCATACACACGGCAACAGTGAGCCCTCACCCCGCAACAGAACAAAATGCTCACCCCGGGGAAGAGATTAAAATTGCTCAGAGTCCTCACATCCTACAAACAGAAACAGTGCCAAACGTCAGGCACTGCTGATCATACAATGACCCTAAACACAGAAAGACAGGTGTTCAAGAGCTCAGGGACATCACAGAAGCTTAACATAAAATCCCCAGAAAACGGCACCTGCATCCTGGACAGGACGATTCAGAAAG